TTAAGGGGGCAAGATAGGTTAGCAACTTGAAAAAAACATTTTTTTTGATAATTTTTTATATGAAAGTACAACAAATTTCAAGTCGATCGGACTAATAGCGTTTTCCACTGGGAAAACTGGTGCAGCACTAGCGCCGTGCTACCCAATCAGCATACCATATTTAAAAAATATTTTTGTTAAAGTTATTAAATATAGTACGAACACTATTACGAAATAACCGGTATATCTCAGCGAGTTTTATAGCGTTTTCCACTGGGAAAACTGGTGCAGCACAGAGGATGCCCACTATGGCCCTGGAATAGATGATTCGATGTAAGTTGGAAAAACAAATCATTATTATACTTTTATTTACTCTTAAAACTTTAAACGCGTTTTTCTCAAAACTACTTTTTTGAAGTCGGTGCGTAACATAACTCAAAAAGTAGTGCACCGATCTTAATGAAATTTTGCAGGCATCTTTTATATGATAAATACTTGCTCTTGAACGATCGTTTTTATTTAAAAAAAAATTTTTACTATTTTTTACGGGCAATAATAGGCTGATTTTTTACGTGAAAATCGTACCTCTACATTCAAAACCGCGCCAAAAATCGAAAATCGCATATTTTTCAAAATGGAATCGTTCAAAAGCACAAGAAACTAATATATTAAATAAATCACTTTGGTTTTTTTATTTCAGATAACCCTGTGAGGCCAGACGTTACGCACCGTACGCCGTCTCTTTTTTTTAACGCCGACGAACTACCGCCACCACGAGATAAATATTGAATATTTCTTCATACAAAAATTCAGAAGTACACTTTAAAAATAACTCTTTTACATGTAAAAACTTACAACTAATCATATTTATTCAGGACCGAGAAAAAAATCTCAAAAATCTGCTTTTCTTCGGCCTCGTTACCTATCTTGCCCCCTTAACGGTCTTGTAAGGATACCCTTTGCCGTTTTTATGTCAGCGGTTCTTACAACGCCGTCTGTGCCCGGATGAACGCCTTGTACGCGCCCTAATAGCTAGTGAAGAGGGTGTAACCCTTGCTGTTTTATTAGTACGACTTGACCGACCTTTAACTGATCCCCCTTGCTAGTCTTCCATTTGGAACGAGCTTGTAAGGTGTGGAGATATTCTGAACTCCACCTTCGCCAGAAATGTTGCCTCAATTGTTCTACGCGTTGCCAACGAACAAGCCTATTTTCGTTTATGTCGCTCAAATCGTGTCAAGGAAAAATGTCTACGGTAGTGCCGATTAAAAAATGTCCGGGGCTCAAATAGCGAGGTCATTGGGGTCTTCGCTCAATGGAGCGATGGGCCGTGAATTTAATATCGCTTCTATATCGCATAAAATAGTCTGCATCTCTTTGAAAGTTAGATGAGCATTGCCGATTATACGATATAAGTGAAATTTTGCAGACTTTATCGCGGCTTCCCAGAGTCCTCCACAATGTGGAGCGTTGGGTGGTATGAAGTTCCATGTTATTCGCTGTTCGCGCAAAAATAACTGGATTTCATTTTGTATGCACTCTTTTTCAAGAAAATTAGAGAATTCGCGCAAACGATGATGGGAACCTACGAAAGTAGTGCCATTATCTGACCACATGTGGGAAGGCTTCCCTCTGCGCGATATAAACCTTTTGAAGGCTGCTAAAAACGTGTCGGTGGTTAAATCACTCACTAGTTCTATGTGTACCGCTTTAGTAGCGAAGCATACGAACATGGCGATGTATGCTATGCGCGTTTCTGCGTTTCCCCTCTCGCAGAGTTAACGGACCGGCGTAGTCCACGCCGCAATACGAGAATGGTCGGAAAACAGTGATGCGACTAGAGGGTAAGGAGCTCATAATGGTTTCTGAATGAACAGGCTTAACCTTAAAACATTTAACGCACTTTAAAATGATTTTTCGTGTTAGAGATCGCAATGCTAAAGGCCAAAATTGCTGTCTGACGTAGCCTGGGTGCCGGCATGTAAGCTACGTACATGCACTTGCGTGATGATTCGTCTTGATAGTTCGTGATTTTTCGGTAGCAGCACCGGGTGACGCGCGTCCTTTGTTAGATTTGAATGTTTTAATCGACCTCCAACTTTAATTAATCCATCGTCGAGAAATGGATTGAGTGTCAAAATCCCGCTGGATGTATTGAGGCTCTTGTTGCTGCTCAAAGCCTTGTACTCCTCGGGAAAGGAATGCTGTTTGCACAATCCTATACATTAGTTGCAATGCTGCCGTGGTTTCTTCGTGGGAGACGAAATGTGTTGTAATGCCTGTAGGTCTTCGTAAGAACCTCAAGCAATATGCCACAACGCGACAGGCTCTGTCAAGATTTGAATGATTGTTGAGTATGTCTTCTATGACACTGGTGTCAACGACTGCAATGTTAACGTATATTTTTCGTAGTTCGGAGGTGTCCTCCTGACGTAGAAATTTATTGGCGGGCCAGAAATTCTCATTGTGTTGCAGAAAGTCGGGACCCTTCCACCAAGTGGTTGCATGAATTAAATCGCTTGGATTTGAACCTCGTGAAAGTAAGTCGGCTGGATTTTGACCGGACGGTACGTGTCGCCAATCCGTCGCTTGAGTCAACCGTTGTATTTCCCCTATGCGGTTTGCGACGAAAACTGAAAACATGCGTGATTCTGAGGATATCCAGCTCAATGTAATTGTTGAATCCGACCATAGATACACCTTGATGTCAGACGTATTTATTGACAATCGAACCTTGTCCATCAGCCGTGCCAGTAGAAGCGCTGCAGATAGTTCTAGCCTTGGCAATGATACAGCCTTCGACGGTGCAATTCTTGATTTGGAGCAAAGAAGTTCTGAACGATACTTGTTCGCATCGAACTCAATCCGTATGTACACGCAGGCTCCATATGCATTTTGACTGGCATCACAGAAGTCATGTATTTGTATATGTTGACGTTCAATGCTGTATTTGACACGTCTGGGAATTGCTGGTTGAGCTCTGTCAACTGCGACTTGAAGGTGATCCATCGTACGTGTAAGTTCTGAGGAACTGACTCGTCCCAATCAATGCCTGCTCGCCAGAGATCTTGCAATATTAACTTGGTGTTGACGATGATTGGACCAAGTAAGCCTAACGGATCGTACAATTTGGAAACGTCCGATAGAATTTTCCGTTTTGAAATTGCGTCATGTGACATGACAGGGTCGTATGAAAAATGTAACGTGTCTGTGTTGGCGTTCCATTTGATCCCCAAGATGTGAGCGCTTTCGTCGTCGTCGATGACAACGGGTTTGTCATTTCTATTGGGTGTTGCGTCCAGCAATTCTGGGGTGTAGGAAGTCCATTTTCCAAGCTCAAATGCGCCTAGCCTCAGTAGTTCGATCGCTTCATCTCGAAGAGTCTCCGCTTCTTGGATGGTGTCTGCACCGGTTAGTAGATCGTCGACATAGAAGTCGCGCCTTATACACGCTGATCCAATGGGAAACGTGGATGAATGATGATCGGCTAGATGTTTGATGCACCTGGTTGTGAGAAAAGAAGCCGATGACGTGCCATAGGTCACTGTCATCAGTATATGTCTTGATGTCCGCCTTGGAGTCGCTGCGCCACAAAATTCTTTGAAGAGATGTTTGCGAAGGGTGTATGAGCACCTGGCGGTACATTTTTATGATGTCTGCGATCAAAGCGTGAACGAAGGTGCGGAATCGCATCACGATTGACATCAAATCTTGCTGCACCACTGGGCCGACTCTCAAGACGTCGTTTAATGATAATCCTGTGTCGCTCTTACTTGAAGCGTCGAAAACGACACGAATCTTGGATGACTGTTTAGCGCCCTTGAAGACGCCATGATGAGGCAAGTAGAAAGATGCTGTATCCTCAAGTGGAGACACGCTGACTTCCTTCATGTGTCCTAGTTTCAAATATTCGTCCATGAAGTTGACATATTGGTCCCTTAAGTTGGGATCTCGTATGAACCGACCCTCTGTTCCTTGTAAGCGTCGCAATGCGATGTCCCTTGTGCTGCCAAGGTTGCCGATTAATTCTTCCTTGATTGGAAGTTTTACTATGTATCTGCCTTGTTCGTTCTGTCCAACGTTAGCTTCGAAATGCTCCTCGCAGTAAGCATCGTCCTTGTTGTTCACGACTTGATTGCCGAGATGTTCAATTTGCCAGAACCGTGTTAGTTGATCGTGCAGTTGAGCATTGGATATGACTGTGGTGAATGCTCGCACGTTTTCTGCAGGCGCCGCTGTGATGCTGCGACGTCCAGCCAGAATCCATCCTAATCTTGTTTTTTGCAGAGTTGGATGGCTGTGAGTGGCCTCGATTTGTCCTATGCAAAGTAACTCCCAAAATATTTCTGCTCCGATCAAAATGTCGACCTTGGAGGAAACGTTGAAATGGGGGTCCGCTAGCTTGAGGTTTCGAGGAATGTTGTAGTCTCCACGCCTTGAAGTAGTTAGTGGAAGCTTCTCGGTTATCCGCTCTGTTACTATGCAGTCCTCGTCCTACAATAAGAAATTAATCTGGATTGCAGTGTTACCTTGGTCGCCATTGTAGCATTTGATGAGGTACTGTTGACACCAGATATTGTGACGTTTAGCGGGCGTAGCGGTAAACCAAGAGTTGCGGCGAGTTGTCTAGAAATGAAACTTGCTTGAGATCCAGAATCTAATAAAGCTCGACATGAATGTGACGTGCCATCGGAGGCAATGACATTGACCACAGCTGTGGAAAGCATGATATGATCTTTGCCTTGAATGTTCGACGAATGTGTCGTCACGGCTGTCGTGGAATTTTGTATGCTTGATTCCCCTGTGCCGGAAGTGCCGGAGTGATCCTTCGCCGAGCTGGTGCTCGTATGCAACAACGTATTGTGTTTGATTTTGCAAATTTTGCAACCTCTAGATGTGCATTTGTCCAATGAATGCATCGGAGAGCGGAGACAGTTGACACAAAGTTTACGATTGCGTACCTCTACCGTCCTTTGCTTGATTGGCAGTGCCAAAAACTCCTTGCAGTAATACATGGGATGCTCGCCCTTGCAATAGTTGCACTTGGATTTGACTGTTGCTGCACATGTGGATTGTCGTTTTGCGTTGGTTTGTGAATTTTTGTTAGTGTCCTTGGAAGCGAGACTGACCTTGTTTGTGATCTCTAACACCAAACAATGTTGAGAAATAAAATCGTTAAATTGTTTAAATGTGGGAGTTTCAGTACCTGTTAAAGAGGACTGCCATTCTCGTAATGTTCGTGGATCGAATTTTGAGGTTAGAATGTATACTAACAGATCGTCTCAGTGCGCCGTGGGACATTTAAGTGCCTTGAGGGCTTGTACATGTCGGATTGCCCCGTCCGCGATTCGACGCAGCTCGGTTGAATCTTCCTTGGTGAGCGAGGGTAAATCTAATATTGCTTTAATGTGCGTGTGAACGATCATTCGTCTGTTATCATAACGTTCCTTTAAAATATCCCATGCTATTTGATAATTTGCGGCGGAAATTTCCAATGCACTGATTACGCCACTCGCGTCACCGGTAAGTGTAGACTTTAAATGTTGTAATTTTTGTATGTCACTGATTGACGCGTTTGAATGTATAATTGAATTAAATGAATCGTAGAATGGAAACCATTCATCGTATTTGCCGGAAAACTTTGGAAGATTCAACTTAGGCAATCTGACACTGCAATGATTTTCCGATCGATTGAATGCGCCCGACATAGCAGTGATATCGGTTGTGTCGGTTGCGCCCGCGGAGCTAATAATGGATTAAGAAGTTCGCGAATCCTTGCGTAAAGCGAATAATACGCTTCCTCGAAGCCGATCCGGTCATTGCCCTCATTTTCGTCAAGCAACTCTATCTTCGCTTGTATTGTGTTATATTGTGACCAATATTCGTCTAACTTGATTCTACGTTCCTCAAGCTGAGCAGCAATAGCCGGAGTGGCAAAAGAAATCGCGTCGATGTATGTGTGAATCCGCGTGCACGCGCCTTTGACGATCGCTCTATGTTTTTTGAGCACTCTGATATCTTGCGCAGACGTCATCGCGAGCTGACCTGCTTGAAACAGACGTAACAAGGAACTTCGTCGGCACTACCGCGAACAGTTTTCCTTACCGTTACTGCGCAGCCGCGCTTTTGTTGACGACTTCCGGTGGCGACCTCCTTGTGGAAACGGCCTTGAATGTGCTGTCCTCGGCGTGCCTCTGAATGACGGTGGCAGCTGACGATGAGAATGAAGCTCATAGTCCGTAGCTCTGACACTTTGAGGTTATGAGCGTTAACGCGCTCGAGCGTTAGGATGAGTAGTGGATGGCGGGGGGTTTCGTCTCTCGGAGACGGAATGCCTTCCCCTTGTACGAAGTTCCGCCGTTGTTGACGGGATTCCTTCCTACCTTCCTTCCTTGGCGATGGAAGTTCCGCTTATTGATGATCGTATCTCCAGTGAACGCGGATGACTTAGA